CCTAAGTTAGGCAGATGTAGGGGGGTCGGCGAACAGGGAGTGTGTGTGTGTGTGTGCACGCATGCACGCAGGTGCACCTGTGGTTGGGAGTGGAGGTGCATGGGGAACAGGGAAGGCTTCATCACTCAGGAAACAAAGAGGCAAGATACCAAAGACAATTTGCCATAACAGGGTAGTAGGGAATGAGCAGGAGTTGGGTGAAGATCCCTTGGTTCTCATTGGCATTACCTGGCCCAGAGAAGGACCTGAGTTCCTGCCCTCACCATGAAATAGGGAGTTGATCAAGGGACCTGAAAAGTCCCAGCCAGTCAAGACCAGCACAGGACGATCACTTTACTCCCGGGAAGATTCAAAGTCCTGCCACTTCTCAGAGCCATGAGCAAGACGGAAGCTGAGAGAAAATTACTTCCCCTGTTGCCCTCCTGGTAGCCCAGCTGGTAGCAAGGTTATTGGTCTTTGAATTTCATCCTTTGTCTGTCCTGGTGAAGACAAAGCACATTTCACTTTAAACAAAAGTTCTTCCCTAATGGAAAGGCCAAGAGAAAGCGCCTGAATGGAGGAATTGCTGCACTAGATCACTTTGCCTCCAGCTGCGAAACTGATTAACGTCCTTAGAGTCTCCAAGGAGGCTTTGCTACAGTCACGGTGGCCATTTCCAAGCAGATGGGCTGGGATAGGGGAGGGTGGGTTGGGGGGAATCCCATAGAGCCTCCTTCAGGAGATGGGGAAAGGGAGGGAAGAAATGCCAGTAAGTATAATATTCACATACAGACAGACCATCCTGCACGTCTTTGTGTCCCGATGCTTGCATCTGAGCCTGCTCCACCTGCACCCATCACAACACAGAGGATGCAGGGGTAGCGGAGCGGATGCTGGCCTCAGCCACACGTCCTACACAGAAGCCACCAGCCACAGGCACCTGTGTCTGTGGACCATTTGCACCCTGGCTGGTCCAAAAGGAGATGAGCTGTCAGTGTGAAACTCTCAAATCCGAAGACTTACTATGAAAAAAGGATGTCAAATATCTCATTCATTGTTTTTATGTTGCTTATACATCAAAATGATAATAGCTTGCATATACTGAGTTGAACTATATTAAAATGAATTCCACCTGTTTTGTTTTACCTTTTTAATTGGCTACTCAAATATTTAACGTTACATATGCAGCACTCATTTCTGGCTCGTGGTCCAGTTCTATGGAGCACCATGGGTCCAAACAATATACAACCATGTGCTTTAAAAATGTCTTTCACAGGGAGGGAGCAAATACCAGTGGCTTCTGCATTAGCCCCAATTTTACACTATCTGTGACAGATACAGTTTCACTTTACGAAGCTGGATAAGGGTGGGAGGTTTTGTTGTTGTACAGGATTTGGGGGTTCTGGAGATGTCCTAAAGCTATTTTAAAAATTTGTCTATTTATTGAAGTATAGTCGATTTACAATGTTGTGTGACTTTCTAGGGTATAGCATAGTGATCCATTTATACATGTATGCATTCATCCTTCTTCTTCCAGTTGCTGCCATGAGCAAGGTGACTCCTAGAAATGCCCCCCCCCCAGGTAGACGCAAAGCAAGCCTAGGTGGCTTCCTGTACATACTTTGGTGTTTTCTTAAAGTCTCTGCTAGTTTGTTCAGGTCAGTGGTTCTCAAAGGGCAGAGTGCATCAGAATCACCTGGAAAGTCTGAGTTCCAATTCAGTATTCTACTGCAGAGTCCAGGAATGGGCATTTTTTTGAGGCATCCTAGGTATGTTCTCAGGCAGAGGCCTGGATGTCCTCTAAGAAACACTCATAAACCAGTGTTCCCAGCCTTTCTGACCAAACAGATCACCCCAGGTATTTGGCAAATATGCAGATTCCCAGGCCTATCCCAGACCCACAGAATCCAAAACTCCAAGGAGACCTGGAAAGTGTGGGGAACAGTGTCTTAAAGCAATGACATGAGTGAGACAGAGAAAGACAAATACCAGATGATATCGTTTATATGTGGAATCTAAAAAATACAACAAACTAACAGAATAAAATAGAACAAAAAAGAAGCAGACTCACGGATATAGAGAATGAACTAGTGGTTACCAGTGGGGAGAGAGAAGGGAGAAGGGTAACATAGGGTAGGGAGTTAAGAGGTACAAACTATTATGTATAAAATAAACTACAGTGATATATGTACAACACTAGGGAAATAAGCAAAATTTTATAACTATAAATGGAGTATACCTCTAAAAATTGTAACTCACTATATGGTACACCTGTAACTTATATTATATTGTACATCAACTATACTTCAATTAAAAAAAAAAAACAGCGACTCTCAACCCTAGCTGCTCAAGAGATCACCCAGGGACTTTAAAAACCTGATGCCTGGGCCACACCCCAGGCCAAACACATCAGACTCTTTGCGGGGGTGGGGGACCCAGATCTCTGAGTCCTTTAAAGTTCCTCTGGTGGTTTCAGTTTACAGCCAAGGTTGAGAAGCACAGATTTGGTCAATAGCAAATTAACCCATCTCCTTTCTCCTTGTATGAAGCAAAATATATCATTTGGTACCCCCAAGTGGACTGAATAAAATGTCCGTGTACAAAGGCCATGGCATGTTACTTCCCGAACTGTTAGTACCTTTTGCTAGCCTGAGAAACTTTCCCTCTAGATTATGTTCACTGCTCTTGCAGCCTGGCTGTCAACTTTCTGTGCTGCTGGTAGTCCCAGCACAGGTGTTAAATACTTCATTAATGCTTTCTGCTGCAACTTGAAGTGCCCGTCCCCAAACAACTTCTGAACAAGCTGCAGAAGCTGCAGTCGGGACACCCCCACCCCCGGCCTGGTTCCAGATTCCAAACCCCTGAGGCTGCTCTCTGCCATCTTTCGATGGCATTACATTTTCTTTTAAGGGAGCAACACCTGCTGTATTTGCTCCCCACCTGGGCTGCTTCCCTTCGTCTGAAAGCGTAATGACCTGACTCACGAGGTGTTTTTGAAGGGGCCATGACCTTGTTCCTTATGCATAATTTTGGAAAGATACATTAAAAATGGAGATTTAAAAATAAATATTTTTCTTCAAAGCTGAGATGCCTTCCACTCTGCCCCCATTGCATCTTGTACTAACTTTATAGTAAAGGTCTTATTGAATTATAATTATTTGGTGTAGGCATGAATGTCTCCCTTGCAGACTATAAAATTCTTGAGGTACAAAGATGCTTCTCACTCATCTTTGTATCCAAAGAATCTAATAGAAAACCTGGCACATGGTAGATTCTTAGTGAATGTTGAAATGAATGAAGTGTTTAAGTGACGTACTATGCTTTGGGTTGCTGACTTAATCGCCATCCAAAATCCCTTTTCCCCTAGTCACCACCAAGCAACAGTGACCATAGGACACAGTTCTGGCCAATAAGAAGTAAGCAAAAGACCCCTGGGTACGGCTTCCAGGAGGGTCTTTGTTTTCCCACCATAAAGAGGATAAACTGGGTTGGCCTGCCCCCTTTATCCTGTACCCCTTCCTGCTTTCTTTTTTCCTTCTTCCTGCCTGGAAGTTAGAGGTAAAGCCTGGAGGTAGAGCAGCCACTTTGTAATCATGAGGAAAACAAAAACAGGTCAAAGCTGGATGGAAGAGCAGAAAGATAGAAAGAGCCCAGATTTCTGATGATAGCAGCTGCACCAGCTGTGGACTGCTTGCCTGCTGCCTCTGGACTTCTTGTTAGGGAAGAAAAAAGAAACCTATATTCACCACTGTGGTTAAGTGTTCTGTTACTTTCAGACAAACAGATTTTGTAACTTATATAACAAGCGTTATTAATAAGCATGCGTTTAAAGCATCTAGTATTACTCTCAGTGCATGGTAGGGATCCACTGTTTGCATATTAATTGCTTATTCATGCAAATAGAATCCTGGATGAATAAATGGGTTATTTGTTTGACAGAAGTATGATCCTCATATGATAACGAACTATTCCCTAAGTTAAGATGTGCCCAATAATCTTAAAACAGCTTTGTTGCAAATCCTTTAGATCGTATCATATTGGTCCTGGAGTTCATTCCCAAAGCTCACTTCCTCCTGTTGGAGAAAGTAGTCTCATGGGAGCTGCAAATCAGGCAGCAAATGCAGAGACAGCTTTCTGGTGTTGCCAGTTCCCCAAGTGTCATATTTCGAGTATTCTCTGCTCCGTAAGGTGAGTTTGCAGGAGCATTGCCCACTCCAAGGTTAGTCAGGTAGCGTTAGCTTTGGGTTTTTTCTCTCCAACCTGGGCTGCCCAGCTGCGGTGGGTGCACACGGCCTGTTGGTGAGCAGAGCTAGGAGCCCAGGCATCCTTGCCCAGAGATAAGCTAAGAGGCTTCTTGGCCTGAGGGTTGGTGGTTATAAGAGCTCCACTGGCAGCCCCCTTAAGGGAACTGATTAAAAAGGAGAGAAGAGAGATCAGTTGTCTCAGACTGAACCATGTGCTCCAAGACCCGATCTCCTGCTTTTCTCTGTGGAATTCCACCTTTTCTTTGAAATTCCTGGGGCTCTCTTTTAATTATTTTTAAACTTGGCTCCAAGTAGCTTGGCCTCCTCTCTTGAAAAGAAAGTGTTAATGCCTGCCTTTGAAGTACACATTTTATGTTTATTTTTAAAATAATATAGTTGGATTTTTTGCACCTGAGAATTAAAAATACTGAGCAATTTCAGTGTGCCGGGCACTGTGTAAGTGGCTTCACATGCATTATCTAATACTTGTAATCTCCCTGCTGTGTGGTAGGTGCTATTTTACTATTTTTTCATTTTACAGATGAAGAGATTGAAGCTCAGAGAGGTTAAGAACTTGTCCAAGATCACACAGAGCCATGGCTCCACCATGGGCTGTCTCTCCAGAGCCCCCTTACCCATCCCCACCTCCCTGGTGCTCTGTGTTGCCGGTGGACATTGGATTCCTCCCACCACTGCCCAGAGCCGCCCCACTGAGACTGCAGACTTCTGTGCCAAAGACAACACAGAAAAGCCCCTCTTCAGTTTGAGAAGACTTACACTGAGGGGTATGTTTTGACTTGTGTCTTCTGGATCAAAGGCCTCAACCTGGTAAACGAATCCAGGGTTTGTTCCTTCCACTATGTAGAGGTCCAGACCTGTACCAGCGCCAAAGAGGAATAAGACACAGTTTATTAGATAAAGCAAACAAGGAATTCCCAAACCAGGACAGCCGTCCACAGCCAAAGGGAGCCAAGTGTATCAGGGCTGTGGGAAAGGGGAAAGCAATGCTAAAGGCCAGAGTCAGACCTTGGTCCAGCTGGCAGGTGGACCCGTATGTGGGAATTAACAAAGTGCTAACGTTGGCCGAGCTGGTGTCAGGTCGTCATCTATTTCCTAGGCTGGGAGGTGACTAGGGTACCACTATTTGCAGGGAGAGGATAATAAGGGCAGAGAGGTGGAAGGTAACCCCAGGTAGGGACACGCAGTGTGAGGCTCCCCATGTGCCAGCAAATTCCTCCTCCACCGAGCCAAGGTCACCCCTCAAAGTGCACTTAGCATCTCAGCAGAAATGAGTTGCTGAAATGAGAGGCCTTACAGTGGAACAGAGAGAAGATGGAAAAAGGGAGGGAAAGGGCTACAGAGGCTCAGGAAAGGGACCAAAATTGATTTCATCTACTTCAGAGTTCTCCGCAGTCAGGGGGGTGGGAGGAGCCGGAGTGCCCCTGAGCACCTCCAGCCCTGCCCCAGGGCCGCCATCTCTTTCGGAGAATCTTCTTGAAAGATGGCTGAGAATTTTAACATTCACTCACTCCTTTGGAGGCACTGTGCTGAGGATCTACATCCTTTCTCCTTTCACCTTCAGAACAGCCCTATTAAGCAAGTACGGTAATCATCTCTGCTTTACAATGAGGAAACAGGCTCAGAGAAATTGTGAAGTTGCCCAGCTGGACAGCGGTAGAATCACAATTCAAACCTGGGCCATCTTACATCTGAGCTCGAACTGACATTCACTTTTATCACTCTCGTGCTTTCACTCAAAACATATTTACTGAGTTCTCACTGGGTGCCAAACACAGATCTATGTGCTAGGAATACAGCAGTTCCCAAAACACAAACCCTACTGTTGGGAAGCCCGTGTTCTAGCAGGAAGAGGTAGATAATAAAATCAGTGAATGTTCCTGAGCAATGTTACAGAGAAAAATCAGGGAAAGGAGTATCTAGAGTTGGGTTACAATGCTCAATAGAGGGCTTCTGAAGGTTCGCTGACATTGGAGTCAGGATTCCTACAGAGATGAAGAGGAGACAGACAGATGCAGGAGAAGGGGCAGAGGAAATGGATGCAAAGATGCCGAGATGGGTGGTGCCTGGGTGACTCCCAGATGGGTGAGGAGGCCAGGACAGCTGGCCACAGCAGAGTACGTGAGGGGGAGACGTGTGTGAGAGGAGAGGGCAGTTGTTTGCTGAATCTGATGGGGCCTTAAGGAGACTCTGGCTCTTCTTTTGAGGGAGATGGGAAGCTCCTGTAGGATTTTAAGCAGAGGACTGCCTTGATTTAACGGATGTTTAACAGGATCTCTCTGGCTGCCTGCCGTATGGAGAATCGACGCTAGGGGTTGGGGACAGAGCAGGGGGCCAGTTAGGTGGGCACTGCGCTGATCCAGGCAAGGCAATGGTTGTGTAGAAGCCTGCACCATGGCGGCAGTGGTGGAGATGCTGGCAGGGGCCGGACTCTGCATAGACTTAGAAGCCAGCGAGATTCCCTAATAGATTTGATGTTGGGTGTGAAAGACAGAGGGGAGTCAAGGATAATTGCAAGGTTTTGACCCACGAAACTGGAAGAATGGAATTGCTGTTAAACTAAACTGGGAAAGACGAGAGAAGCAGATTTGGGCAGGGCTGGTGAGGAGGGAGATGGAGTGGGAGTCAAGAGTGGTTCGGGGGCACATTAAGTCATATTCTAGCACCAATTCCAATGTGTGTCCACTGTGGGAAAGGGGGTTCCCACACCACCAAGCAATTCTCCAACACCAGCTGGGTGTCCTACAATTCAGTTCAGTTCTTACACCGTCTACCCAGATACAGCGTCAGATCCACAGGTGAAGGGCTCAGTCCTGCAAGACAACCCCCACACCTGCAGATGCCAGTCACAAGTCCAGGCAGTCACCTGTGTTTCTGACCATCTGGCTCTGGATTGGAGATTCCTACAACCCTCTCCTCAGGTTCAAATGATTTGCCAGAGTGGCTCACTCTCTTCTGAACTCAGGAAACATTTTACTTAGTGGATTATTGGTTTATAATAAAAGGGTAATACTCAGGAACAGCCTGATGGAAGAGATGCATAGGGCATGGTGTGGGGGAAGGGGCAGAGAGTGCCCATGCCCCATCCAAGCACACACTCCCCAGTCTCCACATATTCACCAACCTGGAATCTCTCTGAACCCTGTCCTTCTGGCCTTTCTGGAGGCTTCATTACAGCCATGTTTGATTAAATCATTGGCCATCTGTGATCAAGTGAACTCAGTCTCCAGCCCCTCCCCTCTCTCCACTGCCCAGCCCTCTGAGCACATGGTTGGTTCCTCTGGTGGGCAGCCCCCATCCTTAGGTGGGGTCCAAAATTCACCTCATTAATGTAACAGCAACAAAAAACCTTTATCATTCTTATCACTTAGGAAATTCCAAGGGTTTTAGGATCTCTGTGCCAGGAGGGGATGAAAACCAAATATGTATTTTTTGTTCTAAATCACAACATCACAGATGTCTATTAGACATCCAGATGGAGACTCAGGTTTTATCTGAGTCGGGAGTCCTGAGGAGGACCTGGACTAGAACGATGGACGTGGGAGTTGTCAGTGTACGGATGGCCTTCAGCGCCTGCCATTAGCTGGGGGGAGATGGTGAAGTTTCCCTATGCCCCAGTCCTTATATTGTCCCTACTCTGTCACAGACCCCAGACACACACTCTCCTCACGGGGTCAGCATCCCTGCGGAGAATGAGCAAGTCAGTCAGTGGCCTGTACCCAGTGCTGAGCCTGTAACGGGCTCAGCCCAGGTTCCTCCAGAATGACCCACTTGAGGCCCCTGAGCCTCAGGTCCTTCCCCAGGCCTGGGAGAGGCCCAAGAGAAGCCACGGATGTGAAAGCCTTCATCAACTGCTGGGCATGGTTACTGGGAGTCCTGGCTGGAGGACATTTCATTTATTCCCTGCTCATTAAGCAGCTGCCTTTTCCAGGGAAGCAGCTGCTTGTTTATTTACTTTTCTGTTTCGCTCTGTCCCCCAGGGTCCTCCCTGATGCCACCGTCTGGGCTGCATCGCACACCCTAGTGTATCTTACCTTTTGCCAAGTTGCCTTGAAACTCGGGCGGCTCATTCACGTCTGTTACCTGGACAGTCAGGACCTGCAGGTCAGTGACACCCACGGCATCCTTCACATAAATCTGCAAGTCAAATATGTGTGGTCCTGTTTCAAAATCTAGTTGTTCCTTCCCAGTGGTGACAACCTAAAAGCAAATGCAGAAATCTTAGTAACCATGTGAAGGAAGATCTGGTTTGCATGCATGCATTTTGCAAAGGGATATTACTAGGAATATTCCAGCATCCTGGAAACAATCTTTCACTCACTGCCAGAGGAACCGCTGGTTTTGCCGGAGTCCTTCTGACATAAACCCCATGACACTTCCCTAAATGGACTCCTGCATGTGATGCTGCTTTTACAGAAAAGACAAACATTCAGGAGGCATTCTAGTTTCATTGATTGGAGATGGAAGGCCCGAAAATTAGAGAACCTGTCAGTACTTGGAGTAGGCTCCTAGGCAAGTCCCTCAGCAACCCTGAAGGCAGTTGGATTTTCTCATCTTTAAGAATAAGATGCTGCACTTCCCTGGGATTGCTGTTAAGTTTCGTCTTGACTCATCCCTCCCTTCTCACTTTCCCAAGGCCACAGCCAAGGATAAACAAGAGAAGGATACATCTGCAGCAATAAGAAATGATATTTACTTACACCCACAGCCATTTTGGGTTTTTGGTGCATTTCCACACTTCCTTCACTGTCAGAAACATGTCCTCTGCACTGTAAGTGTCTTAGAGATGTGAGAGAGACACCAACAACCAGGGCCAGAGACATGTCACCAGAACCTAGATGGTTACCAGCAGGAACCCCAGTGGTCCATGGTGGCAGGGCCCTGCTGAGGCTAACTAGAGGCCAGTCTGTGACCTCCCACATCTGTATGCACATCCCTGCCACCAGCTTACCCCGTGGAGCTCCCAAAAGGCTCAGAGCCCTTTGCAACATCGAGGACTAAATCTCATAAATGTCTTAATTATGCTAATAGAACCTTTTGGTTATTAATGTGCCAGGGCCAGGCAGTGAGCCATTCAGTACCCTATACTGAGGACAGCACTCAGCTCCAACCCAATTTCTACCACTGGACTTTTGTGTGACCTTGTGTGACCTCCCTGACTTGGTTGCCACATGACTATAATTAGGTAAATAATTCTAGCCCTGGTTAAAGAGCTGAAGGATAATACAAGTTATTTAACAAAGAGCTAGACCAGGGTACTGTGGAAAATCAATGGGAAAAAGGGTCATTGTGAGCTGTGTTTAGTCAGGGAGGACTTCATGGAGGAGGTGGCAGGCATTGTGTTTGCCTTTGCAAGAGCTGGATTGATTATGAGAGAACAGGATGGCCACAGATGTGAATGAGTGCATGCAGTGGGGAGAGCACGTACAGAGGAGGGTTGAGATGGAAAATGGGATCATCCTGTCACCACCCACGAGCAGGGTCAGCCTGGTCGCCACACTAGTGGAAGTGACCTGTCTCTCCACTTGGCACGGGGGAGGTGAGAGGCAGCATAACATAGGGGTCAACAGCGTAGCCTCTGGAGCCAGACTGACTGGCTTTTTTAAAAAATTGAAGTATAGTTGATTTACAGTGTTGTGTTAGTTTCTGGTGTACACGATAGTGATTCAGATGTATATGTATTCTTTTTCATATTCTTTTCCATTATAGGTTATTACAAGCTATTGAATATAGTTCCCTGTGGTATAAAGTTAGGATCTTGTTGTTTGTCTACTTTTGTATATAGTAATTTGTATCTGCTAACTCCAAACTCCTATTTTATTCCTCACCCACCTTTCCCCTTTGGTAACCATAAATTTGTTTTCTCTGTCTGTGAGTCTCTTTGTGTTTTATAAATAAGTTCATTTGTGTTATTTTTTTAGATTTCACCTATAAGTGATATCATATAGTACTTATTCTCTGACTTACTTCATTTAGTATCTCTAGGTCCATCCATGTTGCTGCAAGTGGCATTATTTCATTCTTTTTATGGCTGAGTAGTATTCCATTGTGTATATATATGTAAGTGTGTGTGTATGCACACACCACAACTTCTTTATCTAGTCATCTGTTGATGGATATTTATGTTGTTTCCATGTCTTGGCTATTGTAAATAGTGCTGCTGTGAACATTGGGGTGCATGTTTTGAGTTTTCTCTGGATATATGCCCAGGAGTGGAATTGCTGGATCATATTGTAGCTGTATTTTTAGTTTTGTAAGGAACTTCCATACTGTTTCTATAGTGGCTGCAGCAATTTACATTCCCACCAGCAGTGTAGGAGAGTTCCCTTTTCTCCACACTGTCTCTAGCATTTATCATTTGCGGACTTTTTAAAGATGGTCATTCTGACTGGTGTGAAGTGATACCTCATTGTAGTTTTAATTTGCATTCCTCTAATAATTAGCAGTGTTGAACATCTTTTCATGTGCCTGTTGGCCATCTATCTGTCTTCATTGGAGAAATGTCTGTTTAGTTCTGCTCATTTCTGTTTTGACTGAGTTGTTTTTTTTTTGTTAAGCCTTTGTCACAGACTGACTGGCTTTAAAGCCCAGCCTTCTCGTTACTTAAACTTTCTGTGCTTCAATTTCCTCATCTGTAAAATGGGAATAATGATAATAGCATCTGATTTCTAGGGTTGTTGTGAGGATTCTGTGAGCTGCTGAGAACACTAGCACTGAGCAAGCACTTAGCAAATGCTGACTTTTATTATCGTTAGATGTCAGAATCTGTTCAGTGAATGTATGCTCACCAGAGTCGCCCCTGTCAGGTTGGTCTGCTTTGCTTCCTGATTTATACCCTAGCTTCCAGCTAACTAAGCCTTCAGCGCCCTCCTGAAACCCACATTTGCTGATCCTTCATCACGAGGTTACCTAGTCACAGCCTCTCCTGGGGGACTGGCTCTAACACCCTAGAGGAAGGAAACAGAACAGTCAAAAAGGGGTCTGCAATCTTATATTTTGGACCAAAGGAATTGGGTTACTGTCAACATGTGGAAGAGCTACTTTTGTTGTGGTCTTTACCAGCATTAATTCAGTGTGGAATATTTTGTGG